CGCATCTCCCTGCACGCTCACAATGGCTCCTCTTTCCCTGCTTGTTTTTGAACATGGTGTTATTTTTCACTTTGGGCAGGGACCTCCCGTGTCCTCTCTTCCCCAGCCTGAGGGCTTAAGCCTGTGTCTGGGCTCTGAGGATTGCTCCAGGCGTGGTTTTCCCACTTGACCAAGCACGCGGATCACCTGGAAGGGCTTATGGAACGAGAATTTACTGAGCTCCCCACCCCCTCCCCCCCACCGGCCCCGGAGATTCTGATTCAAGGAGGCTTGGGTGGGGCCTGAGAATGTGCCTTTGTAACAAGTTTCTAGGTACCGCAGACACAGCTGATCCCAGGGCTATACTTTGAGAACCGCTGCTCCAACAGTCTCTTTTCCTAAAAGGAGAGCTTAGGAGCCCTGATCTGCAAAGCCTGTCGTTTTCTGTCATCTCTCTTTCAGCCCCTCTCACTTCCGTTTCACTGTCTCTGTCGTCCCTTATTTCCTGGCGAACCTCACCCGTCTCCAGTGGCAAGGCCTGAGGGGCCCCGGGTGGCTCCGTCGGTTAAGCGTCTGACTCCAGCTCAGGTCGCGATCTCACAGTCCAGGAGTTCCAGCCCCGCGTCGGGCTCCGTGCCGACAGCTCGGAGCCTGGAGCCTGCTTCGGATTCTGTGTCTCCCTCTGCCCCTCCCCCACCTGTGCTCTCTGTCTCTCTCTCTCAAAAATAAATGAAAACATTTAAAAAAAAAATGTTTTTAAGTGGCAAGGCCTAATGCAGTGGGACCCCTGCTCCCCGAAGAGCAGGAAGATTCGTCTTCCCACTTGAAAACTAGCCACATGGTCTCCTAGAGGCGGTCTATCACCTTCCTTCCTTCCAACGCCTTTGCTCACTCCCCGGATTCAGTGACTTTTAAGATCATCTTTCTACATAGGGATGCCTTTCAAAATCCTCCTTCTTAAAAAAAAAAAAAAAAAAAAAGCCCTGGAAATCATCAGTTTTCAGGATGTGTCCTCATTCAGGTCACTCTTTTCCAGGTCCCTGTAGAGCGCGCATGCTTTTTGTGGGGAGAAGGGCTTCTTACAGAGTCATGGAGTGAGGACATGTCAGACACGTGGGAGGGGCTCACCCAACACTTACTGCCCCATTAGTGTGGCGCTGCACGTTAGAAGGGCTTCCTCCATTCTAGGAAACCATAGCTGCTCTAGGAAATGATCTGTGGGCCAAGTGTTATCTGGGAGGTGACCCCGTGGGCACTTGGGTTGAACATGCTTTGTTTTCACGTCCTTCTGCTCAAGGCCCCCCTGCCCTTTTCTAGACTCGACTTCCTCTGAAATGGATGGCTCCCGAATCTATCTTCGACAAAATCTACAGCACCAAGAGTGACGTGTGGTCTTATGGAGTGCTGCTGTGGGAAATCTTCTCCTTAGGTAAATCTGGGGGAAGGGGGGAAGGGGGAGAAAGAGACCTGTACCCTCTGCCGCGCGTCCTCCGGGCAAATGCACCCTTGAGAACAGCATCTGAGAGACGCGTGGGTCCGTGTAGGGCTTCGGACCAGCATCACGTCTGAAGTCAGGTTTAGCCGGTCTGACTGCTGTCTCTATCCTTGGCTCCTTCTCCTAATTTCTTGAAGTCTCCGGCTCCTAACGCCCTGCCCCTCCCCTCCCCACATCAGCCACCTCTCAGAAGTTCTTCGGAAAGGCCCCACCAAGCACAGCTCAACCAGGGTTAGAGATGGGAGGCGTTTCTCGTGGCTCCGATATTAGCACAGCTAGCTCTCCACGCTGGTTTATGCAGGACGAACGATAGGAGTGCCGATCATATTGGTTCTGCTTCCAGTAACATCCGCCATGGGTGGCTGGAAACCCTGTTCACGGCCCCAGGCACACAGATGTGCACAGAGCCCACGTCTGCTTGCGGACACACACGGATGCCCTGAGGCCTCCCAAGCGTGGGGTCTAGCCAGCGGTCTGTCAGACTTTGCCAAAACTCTGCCTTTTGGAGCAGCTTAAAGTCACCCGGTAACATCCCTGGTTTCCTGTAATGTGTGAAAATCATTCCCCTGCTTTCGATGACAGACACCTGCTGCTTTCAGTCCTTGAAAGCAGCTTGGCGGCCACAGTGGCCCCGCAGTGACACAGTGCCAGAGGCGCACGCCTCCCAGCTGCTTCCTACGGCACAGAAAGTGCAGACAAGCGAATGTTGAGACAGACGAGGTTCGAGGTCTGGAGCAGAGCAGGTTGGGAGGCGTCGTTCACTCCTGGCCCCCGCCAAGCGTCCCCCTAGAAGGGAAGGTTGCGTGGGTATTCTGGACGGTAGAACGCAGAAGGCAACTCTGGCAGCCCCCCTGTCTGTGGGCCGTTCCCCCTCCTC